GTTGTCGCGCGCGGCCGCGCAGTCCCTGCCTTCAGGGCGGCGTCGCATGCCCTGCCCAGCGCCCCGAGGGCGCTGGCGCCCAGCCTGTACTCCAGGCCGGCCCAGTCCTGGCAGCGCGGGGAGCGATGACGACTACGACGACGGTGACGAGGAGGGTGACCACGACGGTTCGAAGACAACTCCTGGGAGGTCTTCGTGAGAACGATGAGGGGCGACCAAGCCCGATGAAGGGGCCATTAAGCCGGATTGGCTTGGACTAAGCTCGGGATTAAGCCAGATTGCAAGGCTTGACTCTGGATTTGTTTTCGACCACGGACACACCAGCACCGATGCTGAACTTAGCCTCCCAGGGGTTGCATCCGGCAGCGAAGGCGGCGACGAAGACGGCTGGGGGATGACCAGAAGGAGGGACGGCGGGAGCGGCCAGTACCACTCGGAGAGCACGAGAAATCCCAACAGCCCCTTGCGCCTCAGTTGCTCAGGGAGTTTCCTCTTCCAATTCCCCTTCTTCTCCTTCGGGGATTGGTGTATCAATGTTCCTTCCCTATAAATTATCCCCCCCCCCAAGGCGACTGGCAGCCAACCAGGACCAATGCGACCCTCCCCCGTCCCCGCCAAACGAAAACCATACGAAGCAGACTGTGGGGCAAAATCTTGGGTCATGCTCGTGGGTCCTGCGAGCACTTTGTATGTTGTTTTAACAAGGACGGCGCGGGCCGGGCTGCCCTCATATTGCCTGGTTTGCGCAAGGCCACAATCCCTGTCTAAACAATAATTCAACATGCACTTCGCGGCTAAATTTGGATCATGCGCGGCCAACCCGTCATCACTGTCCATGGGTGTTCGACAAGGACCGCGGGGGGCTGGCATATTGCCTGATACGTGCAGGCCCACCAAACATCATGATGGCCTCCCCGCCGCGACCGCGCACTGGTCCCCAACAAGGATGGAGGGGGCCGACACGTTTCCCGATGTGTGCTGCCACGTGAGCGGGCACACCTGACACACTCTGCGCGTGCCCCAGACGTGGCGCACCTGGTGCGGTTGGACCATGCGGCACACATGGCGCACGTGGAGCACGTGGCGCATCTGGCGCGCGAGGCGTGCCTGGCGCGCGTGAGCCCCAGGGGTGCCCGGCGCACTTGGAGCGCCTGGCACGCGTGGAGCAACTCATCCCATCGCGCACATAGGGTCTGTATTGGTTCTCAGTAGCTGCCAATCCGCGTGCTATTTGTGTTGGGAGGGCGGGTGGGAGTGAGCGAGACAGCTTGCGGGCGGGGAAGGTGTCTTGACCCCTCCCCCTAAACCCCCTCCCCCTGGGTTTGGAGAGGGGGAGCGCGGGATGTCAGAACATCCAAAATGGCCTCGGCGAGAAGGCCACATATTAGCCTCCCCGGGGGAGGAGGGGGGGGAGGGCAAATTGAGCACAGCCCGTCCTTTGATCGATCTCCTCCAAGATGGCCCAAGAGGCTCCTAAGGGTGCCCCAAGACGGCCTCACGAGGTGCCCAGGAAGGCACCAAGAGGCACCCACGAGGCACCCAAGATGCCCCCAAGAGGCTTCCAAGAGACCCCGAAGAGGCCCCCAGAGAGAGGCACCCCAGAGGCACCCAAGAAGCCCCAAGAGGCGTCGGCGAGAAGGCCAACATCATAGATTGTACAACGAAGTGTCGGCCACACTTTGGCCTCCAAGGGGCGGGGGGCAATTCACTACGGCCCCTCGTTTGATCGATCTCCTCCAAGATGGCCCCAAGATGGACTCCGAGGCTCCCCAAACCCTGAAGAGGGCCCCAAGAGGCGCCCAGCAGGCCCGAACAAGCGTCCAAAATGCCCCCAGAATGCCTCCCAGACGCCCCTAAGAAACTTCGAAAAGACCCCAAGAGGCCCGAAGATGCTCCTCCGACGCACCCAAGACGCTTCAAAAGGCCCCGTTACCGCCACGACGCCCCCAAGAGGCCCCGAAAAGCCTACGAGAAGCTGGCCAGAGACATCCGCAGAAACTACAAAAGGCGCCCCAAGCAAAACCTGTGGCCTATCTGCTCGCCCTTCTCCTCCTCCTCCTCTTCCTCCTTTTCCTCCTCCTCCTCCTCCTACAGGTTGATCCGTGGCGTTGGAATCCCGATAACAATATTTTGGCATGTTTCAGGGTCTTCAAACGGTTGTCTTCCAACGAGGCAGTTCCCTGCGTGGAAATGAAACGCTGCATGGGCCTATGAAGAAGGGAGCTTGGAAGGAGGGTTTATTCCAACATCGTTGGTAACTCTTGGGGTTGCACTGGTCCTCCTCCTCCTCCTCGTCCTCCTCCTCCTTATCCGCCTAATCCTCCTCCACCCTCCCCCCTCGTCCCTCCTCCCTCCTCTCCTTCCCCCTCGTTTTCCTCCCCCTCCTCCTCCTCCTCCTCCTTCTCCTCCATCTTTTCCTTCTTAGCGTACGACACCCCCCGACCGACATTGTACTACGTGATCCCCAACATGCCTGACCAAAGCAACCCTCGTGGGCATTGTTTCTGGATAAGCCTGTAGGCTTAGTAAGCCCACATGCGTAATACACGAAGAATTTGGAATATCGATGTCGCGCCGGTCGGGCGACCCAATCAGGGTGTTACTGCCCAGGACGTAGAAAGCTGTTGTGGGCCCCAACCTGTATGCTCTGGCATAGTGTGGTACAACCTATGTGGTGCAATGAATCTTTGACCGTCTTGAAGCTGTCCTCTCCACTGCTCGCGCAAACATCCCACCCACCCACCCGCAACTTGGTTTGCAAAACCTCTTAAGACCGACTACGACGACACCGACGACAACGACGACGACGACGACACCGACGACGTCTCCGACGACTTCGACGACGACACCGACGCCGACGCCGACGACGACGACGAAGACGACGACGACTCCAACAAAGGCGACGACGAGGGAGGAGGAAGGACGACGACGGCGCCAACGACGACAACGACGAGGGAGGAGGGAGGACGGCGGCGACGCGAACGACGACGAAGGAGGAAGGACGGCGACGCCGACGACGACAACGACGAGGAAGGAGGGAAGACGACGACGACAACGACGACGACGACGGCGACGGCGACGAAATAGGAGGGACGACGACGAGACGCCGACGGCGCACAACGACGACGACGAGGGAGGAGGAGGAAGGACGACCACGGCGACAACGACGACGGAAACGACCACGACGCCAAAGAGGACGACGACGACGAGCACGAGGAAAGACAGAGGACAACGTAGGCGACGGCGACGACGACAGCGACGCGGGAGGAGGGAGGACGGCGGCGACGACGACGACGACGACGCAAGAGCGCGCGCGCACGCTTTTGTTGAACATGCGTGTTGCGAGACCTTGGGTGTTTGTAGGTTTTTGGGACGCACGTTGTTGACATCCTTCCGAAACCGATGGGTTTTGAAGGTTTACGGCATACGCCCGCGACGACGCGCGCGACTGCACTTCGTCCTAATTTTTGCAAAGGGTTCTCGCGACGGCACACGCGCAAGGGCGTTCGACAGATTTCGACATGCGCGCGCGAAGCCTGTTTGGTAGCATGTTGTGAAAATCTTGAAAAACCTATGTTTTTTTTCGGATTTCGCAAGAGCTCGCGCGGAAGCTTTTTTAGCAATTCAGTGTTGCGAAACCATGTGTTTTTGTATGTTTCTTTTGGAAACTCGATTGCGAAATCCTTCTGGCACGGACGGTTTTTTGAAGGATTTCGGCATGCGCGCGCGACGACGCGCGCGTGTGCACTTCGTCCCGTTTTTTGCAAGGGATTCGTGAAAAAGTGCTATGTTAGAACAAAACATGTCACCGCACAGTGTTTTTTACAAGGGAACCTCAGGAGGGGGGAACCCGGCCTGGCTGGGATGATGTTATTTCATGTTTAGGATGGGCGAGTGGTCAGAAACATATGTGATTTACATACCCGAAAGGGGAGCTGATAAGTCCGGGGGGGATAGAAATTATTCTCCTTTTAGAAAGGAGAATTGGTTTTAACAAACGAATTGACACATCCACCCACCCGTAACTTGGTTTGCAAAACCCAAAAGGTGGCGATTGCGATGCATGCTCGGCGTTGGCTGGTGCGTCTCTGCGGCCGCGCCAGCCCAAACACGCGCGCGTAGCGGCCGGCTGGTCTGGTGAGACCGACGCGGCCGCGGTGGCGCTGATCGTTGGGCACATACCAGCGGGCACTTCATTGAGTGTCGGCGAATTGGGCGGGCGCGGTATCATGGCAACGTCGACAACGGTAAACGACGCGGGCGAGTCTCCAACGACTTCGACGAAAACGACAACAACGACGACGATAACACCGACGACGACGACGAAGCCGACGACGCCGACGACGACGACGATGACACCGCCGACGGCGACGACGACGCAACCGACGACGACGAACACGACGCCGACGACGCCGACGACGACGGCGACGACGGCGACGACGATGACGACGACGACGCCAACGAAGACGACGACGACGACGAGGGAGGACGACGATGGCGACGACGACAACGACAAGGGAGGTGGGGGAAGACGACGACGACGATGACGACGACGACGACGGCGACGAAATAGGAGGGACAACAACGAAACGCAGACGAAGACGACGAGGGAGGGAGGACGACCACGGCGACAACGACGACGGAAACGACCACGACGCCAACACGACGACGACGACGACGACGAGGAAAGACAGAGGACGACGAGGGCGACGACGACGACGACGAGGGAGGAGGGAGGGCGGCGACGACAACGACGACGACGACGCAAGCGCGCGCGCACGCTTCTGTTGAAAATTCGTGTTGCGAAACCTTTTGTTTTTGTATGTTTTTTGGACACACGTTTTTTTGAAACCTCTCCGAAACCGAAGGTTGTCGAAGGATTTCGGCATGCGCGCGCGACGACGCTCGTGCGTGCACTTCGTCTCACTTTTGCAAAAAGGATTCTCGCGACGACACGCGCGCAGGTTCCTTTCAACGATTTCGACATGTGCGCGCGCGAAGCTCGTTTGGCAGTATGTTTTTGAACATCTTGAAATTATCCCAGTGCGACCCTACCTAGGAGTTGGAACCCCTAGGAAAGCAGCATTAGTAGTAACAGTAACGCTAAGCTAAAGCTAAGCTGAAGCTAAGCTAAAGCTAAGCCACAGCTAAGCTAAAGCTAAGCTAAAGCTAAGCTGAAGCTAAACTAAAGCTAAGCTAAAGCGAAGCTAAAGCTGAGCTAAAGCGAAGCTAAAGCTGAGCTAAAGCGAAGCTAAAGCTGAGCTAAAGCTAAGCTAAATCTAAGCTAAAGCTAAGCTAAAGCTAAGCTAAAGCTAAGCTAGAGCTAAGCTAAAGCTAAGCTACAGCTAAGCTACAGCTAAACTAAAGCTAACGCTAAGCTAAAGCTAAGCTAAACGCTAAGCGAAAAGCTAAGCGAAACGCTAAGCTAAAGCTAAGCGACACGCTAAGCTAAAGCTAAGTTAAAGCTAAGCTAAAGCTAAAGCTAAAGCTAAAGCTAAAAATTCCCAAGGGACTGGGGAGAACCGCTCCCAGGGGACCGGGGGAACCGCCCGGGGCGCTTTCCATTGCCCGGCCCCTTTAAGCTAAGAGGGTAAGAACCCTTCTAGGCAGAGCCTAGGTAGGGAAAAACCTGTTGTGTTCGAAAGGTCTCGCAATAGCGCGCGTAAGCTCTTTTAGAACAGCAGTGCTGCGAAACCATGGGTTTTATTTGTTTTGTGGTTGAAAATCGAGCGGCCACGATTCTTTGTGAACTACGCTGCGTCCGCGATCCCAGGGCCACGATCCCTCGTGAAGTACGCCGCGTCCGCTCTCCCTGGGCCACGATCTTTTGTGCACTACGCTGTGTCCGCGCTCCCAGGGCCAGGCCCCCCAATGAATTACACGGCATCCGCGGTCCCAAGGCCGCGCTCCATAGTCAATTACGCAGCGTCCGCACTCCGAGGGCCACGTTCCCCAACAAGTGGCACGCGCACCATCGCTGCTGCACAGAAAAAGGAAGTGGGAGGAGGCGGAAGGGGCGCGCTGGCTGGAGAATGGGGTGATGGAGAGGGCGCTCGGGATGGGGGTGTCGGGGCGGTGCCGACGACGACGACGACGCCGACGCCGACGCCGACGCCGACGACGACGACGACGACGACGACGACGACGACGGCGCCGACGACGACGACGAAGACGACGACGACATCGACGTCGCCAACGAAGACGAGGACGACGGAGGAGGAGGAGGGAGGACGACGACGGCGACAACGACGACGACGACGAGGGAGGAGGGAGGACGGCGACGACGCGAATGACGAAGAGGGAGGGAGGGCGGCGACGCCGACGACGTCAACGACGAGGGAGGACGGAAGACGGCGACGACGACGACGACGGCGACGAAACAGGAGGGACGACGACGAGACGCCGACGACGGACGACGACGACGGAGGAGTAAAGACGACCACGGCGACACCGACGACGGAAACGACGACGACGCCGAAGACGACGACGACGACGACGAGGAAGGAGGGACGGCGACGACGACGACGACGCAAGAGCGCGTGCGCATATCGCGAACCCTTGTGTTTTTGTATGTTTTTGGACACTCGATATTGCAACCCTTCCGAAACCGAAGATGTCTAAAGGATTTCGGCATGCGCGCGCGACGACGCGCGCGCGTGCACTTCGTCTTTCTTTGCAGCGGATTCTCGCGACGGCACGCGCGCAGGTGCGCTCGAACGATTTTGACATGCGCGCGCGAAGCTCGTTTGGCAGTACGTTCTAGAACATCTGGAACACGTTTTTCTGTTATATATACATATATACAAACATAAGATTGCGCAAAAGCGCGCGTAAGCTGTTTTAGGAACCCAGGGTGGCGAACCCAAATGTGTTGGTATGTGCTTTGGGAGCTCGATCCTGACACCCTTCCGATACCAACGACGACGACGACCACGGCGCCGACGAGGACGACGACGAAGACGACGACGACGACGCCGCCAACGAAGACGAGGACCACGGAGGAGGAGGGAGGACAACGACGGCGACAACGACGACAACGACGAGGGAGGAGGGAGGACGGCGACGACGCGAATGACGAAGAAGAAGGAGGGACGGCGACGCCGACGACGTCAACGACGAGGGAGGACGGAAGACGGCGACGACGACGACGACGGCGACGAAATAGGAGGGACGACGACGAGACGCCGACGACGGACGACGAGGGAGGATGAAAGACGACCACGGCGACAACGACGACGGAAACGACGACGACGGCAAAGAGGACGACGACGACGACGACGGCGACGAGGGAGGAGGGACGGCGACGACGGCGACGACGACGACGCAAGAGCGCGTGCGCATGTTGCGCACCCCTGTGTTTTTGTATGTATTTGAACACTCGATATTGCAACCCTTCCGAAACCGAAGATTTCCGAAGGATTTCGGCATGCGCGCGCGACGACGCGCGCGCGTGCACTTCGTCTTTCTTTGCAGAGGGTTCTTGCGACGGCACGCGCGCAGGTGCGCTCGAACGGTTTTGACATGCGCGCGCGAAGCTCCGTTGGCAGTATGTTCTACGGCATCTGGAACACACTTTTTAATATACGTATATATATAATATTAAAGGGTACGCAAAAGCGCGCGCAAGCTGTTTTACGAACTCAGAATGGCGAAACCCTATGTTGTTGTATGTGCTTTGGGAACTCGATGTTGACACCGTTCCGAAACCGACGGTTTTTTTGAAGGATTCCGGCATGCACGCAAGACGACGCGCGCATGCGCATGTCGTCCCATTTGTTGCAATGGATTCTTGAAGAAGTCCGATGTGTGCTAAACAAATGCGCGCGCATATGACGTTTTGCAGAGGTTGGCGGGGATACGAAGTCACAGGTAGGATGGACATTGGGTCTGAATCCTTTGTTTTGCATCGGTTCCTGGGGGGACTGTTGAAACCCCGGGGGCAGGAGGGTGGTATACTTTATTTTGTTTCTAGAAAAGAGAATCCGCGTGATGCAGTACATGCGATGGGCAATCTAGGTGGTGCAAAATATGTGCGGTGTGATCTGCGTAATGCAACGTATGTGGTGCAATAGTTGTTGGGCACAAAAGTGCTCACGTATGTGATGTGAACTATGTGGTGTAAGCTACGTGGTGCAATCCACGTGACCCGAACCATGGGATATCAGCTACGTGGTGCTATCTCCGCGGTGCAATTGACTTGTCGAACTTGGAATTGTCAACTCCACTGCTCGCACAATCATCCCATCCACCCACCCGCAATTTGGTTTGCTAAGCCATGCGAGAGCAATTGCGATGAGTGCTGTGTGTTGGCTGGTGCATCTCTGCGGCCGCGCTAGCCCGCGCATGCTCGCGCGCGCAGCGGCCAGCTAGTTTGGCGCGACCGACGCGAACGCGGTGGCGCTGACCGCTCGGCGCATCCCAACGGGCACTTCAGTGCGAGTCGGCGGCTTGGGCGGGCGCGGTATCAACGTCGACAACAGTAGACACGATGATGATAGTAGGGGTGCTACTGACGATGCTGACAGCGACGACGGGGCAGCCAATGACGGCGCCGGTGCTGATCATGTCGACGACGATAACGCCGTCTCCGCGTCGGTGATGAAGGCTTTGGGAGGAATTCGAAATGCGCGCGCGGCAGACGCGTGAGAGTGGCTCGCATGGTATTATTTGATACGGATCGTGCCACCCCAGCACGCGCGCAAGGGCGTTCGAACGTTTTCGACATTCGCGCGCGCAAAGCCCATTTGGTAGCATGTGATGGCAACTTAGAAAACTTATTTTTTAAGAATTCGCAAGATCGCGCGCACGCTGTTGTTGAACACCAGTGTTGCGAAACCCGATTTTTAGTTACAACAAATGTTGGACATTCGATTATGAAATCGTTCCGAAACCGGACGTTTTTGAAGGATTTCGGCATGCGCGCGCGACGACGCGGGCGCGTGCACTTCGCTCCGTTTTTTGCAAGGGGTTGTTGGGCACTTACAATTTTGGATAAACGAATGCGTGCGCATAGCAATTTTGGGGAAGGGAACCAAGGGGGGGCGATACCGGCCTGGCTGGGATAGCATGCGTTCACAGGTAGGATGGACCTTGGGTCATAATCATATGTGTTTTGCATCGGTTCCCGGGGAGTCGATAAGTCCAGGGTGGGAGGGTGGCAGAACCTATTTCTTATGTCAAAAACGAAAGTAGATGTGGTAAAATATATAGGTTGAGCAATGTGTGTGTGGTGCATACTATGTGGGACAGTAGGTGTGGAGTAAGCAACGTGGTGCAATATAGAATAGACAATCTCTGTGGTGTAAGCTACGTGGTAAGGAGCAAGCTGTGTGGTGCAATCTATGTAACCTACGTGGCATGGTGTCAGCTCTGTCGTACAATCGATAGTGCCGTCGACGTGGTGCAATACGTTGGTTTCCCTCTTCCCACTAACCCACGATCAGTGCTCGCAGGCCAACGGCAGTGGGCTCCCCCCGAGTCACTTCGGAACCTCATCTATGTCCCGCGACTACTTTGAGTGCCAGGCAGTGCGCAGCGTTCAGACGTTCAGACTATTATCTCGGTTGGAATACACTAGCTCTCAATTCTATAACGGATAGCTGGAAGCACCACTCCGCTGCGGCACAAACATTTACCATTAAACATAATACGCACATGATTCAAGATGCCTTGCAAACCTGTGATCATCGCAAGTGAAACGGGATCCAGATGGAATCCCTCCCCACCTCTATGTCAACAGCAGCCTGCACCAGCCTGCGATCTGCTCCTTGGGCCCCGCCTGGGCCCCCATCGCACTCTTCAGCATCGGCCCCATGAATTGGGGGCGCTCTGGCCCCGGCTGCACCCTGCTGGCCTTGGCTGCCAGGCGGGCCCACTGCTCGCCCTGGGGGATAGCCCTGCACGCGGACCTCACCCTTGGCCATGGCTGGCCCCCTCGGCACGTCGAGCGGGTCCTCCGCGTCGGCCCAGCGCGCGCGCTCGCCCCCCAGCAGCAACACGTCGCGCTCGAGCCGCCTCTCAACGTGGCGGCGCTCCTGCACCGCCGCCGCCCGGCCGTGCGCCGCCAGGTTGGCAGCCGCCGCGGCCTCCCAGCACTGCTTCTTCTGCTCGATGGCCCAAGGGCCGTCAGGCCCAGCAAGCAGACGCGCCGGAGACGAAGTGCACGGATCGGACTGGCCCTCCTGGCCCTCCTAGGAGCCCTCAGGCCCCAGGCGCATGCCCTCCGACTAGTGAATGTCCAGCTCGAAGACGCCCTCGAGGTCGAAACTGGCCTGAGCCCCATCCCCAGTGCTGAAGTAGGCCGCGAACTTCACCGCATCCTTCTCTCCCACGGAGTCCATGACCCCGAACATTGGGAAGGGCGGGATGGGGCCCAGCACCACGGGGCCCGCCACCTTGGTCTCCATGTGCTCCTCCACGAGCTCATGCGCTCCGTGAGCTGCACTGTCTCGGGCGCAGGCGCCGCCGCACGCTTGCGCTCTCAGGCGAGGCCACGGTCTCCATGAGCTCCTCCGCGAGCTCATCGCTTTCCTCCATGAGCTGCATGCGCTCCGCCTCGAGCTCCTGGATACAGTCGGGCGACGCCAGGACTGGGTTTAGTGAGACCGTGTGCCGGGGGGCGACCCCCCGCCCCGTTCCACTAACCGGAGCTGCCGTCACCCGAAAGAACACCAGCTACGGCAGACCTAGTTTAGTGATTCTGGCCATTTTCGGGGCTCGAGGGCCCTACCACTAACCGGGCCCCCTCACCTGGGGTCCTGGCTAGACCCGACACAGGGCCCCTGCGCCAGGAGCCGCGCGTCCGAGCGGTCCGCCTCCCACCATCTCAGCGGCGGAGCTCGGCCGGCGCGGGCAGAGCTCGGGGCGCGCGGGCGCCGGCCTCGGCTCACTGCCCGCGGCGCGACGGGCCTGGCTTCGAGGCCAGCCGCAGCACGAGCCTGGAGTCGAGCCTCCGCGTCGAGCGCCGCGTCGGACCCCTCGCTCGGCTCGCCGACGGAGTCGTCCGCCGCGGCCTGCCCCGCACGGAGCGACAGCCGCGCACGGCGCGGCTCTTGGCGGGCCACCGCGGGCGTCAGCGCCGCCGCCTCCACGTCGAAGGCAAGCTTGGCCGCGCTGCAGAGGACGCGGGTGTCGCGGTGGACGAGCCAGCGCCCCGAACGACGCGCCGTCCCAATCCTGACGAATTCTGTGCACTGCGCGCGGAGCTCCACCTCGATGAGGTCCAGCCACTGCCGAACCTCTTGGTCGATCCTGGCCTCCTCCTCCACGTCGGCGCCGAGCCCCTGCTCAGCCATGGGGAGGGGCTGCGCCCTGGCTGCCCTCACGGCAGCTGCCGCCGCCGCCGCCAAGTGCTGCCGGGAGCCAACATGGCTACGGTAAATGTGGTGCAATATATGTCGTGTAAGCTATGTGGTACAATCGATGTGGCGCGAGCTGCTTGGTTTGAGCTACGTAGTGCTACGTGGTGTACGCTACGTGGTACAATATGTGTGGTGCCATATATGTGATGTAAGCTACGTGCTGCAATCTATGTGGTGCAAATGATTTTTACCCATGATTTGACACATCCCATGCTCTTGCAAACATCCCACCCACCCACCCGCAACTTGGTTTGCAAAACCTCTTGGGACCGTGACGGTAGGTACCAACTGGCACTTGGCAACGACACCGACGCCGACGACGACGACGACGACGACGACGACGACGGCGACGACGACGACGCCGACGTCGACGACGACGAAGACGACGACGACGCCGACGCCGACGACGACGACGAAGACGACGACGACGTCGCCAACGAAGACGACGACGAGGGAGGAGGGAGGACGACGACGGCGACAACGACGACGACGACGACAACGACGAGGGAGGAGGGAGGACGGCGACGACGCGAACGCCGAAGGAGGAAGGACGGCGACGCCGACGACGACAACGACGAGGGAGGAGGGAAGACGACGACGACAACGACGACGACGACGACGACGACGGCGACGAAATAGGAGGGACGACGACGAAACGCCGACGACGGACGACGACGACGACGAGGGAGGAGGAAGGACGACCACGGCGACAACGACGACGGAAACGACCACGACGCCAAAGAGGACGACGATGACGAACACGAGGAAAGACAGAGGACGACGTAGGCGGTGACGACGACGACGCGGGAGGAGGGAGGACGGCGACGACGACGACGACGACGCAAAAGCGCGCGCACGCTGTTGTTGACAATCCGTGTTTCGAAACCTTGTTTTTTGTAGGGTTTTTGGACACACGAGTTTGAAATCCGTCCGAAACCGACGGGTTTTGAAGGATTTCGGCATACGCGCGCGACGACGCGCGCGTCTGCACTTCGTTCTATTTGTTGCAGAGGATTCTCGCGACGGCACACGCGCAAGGGCGTTCGACAGATTTCGACATGAAAGCGCGCGAAGCCCGTTTGGTAGACTTTTGCGGAAATCTGGAACACCTACAGTTTTCTTAAGATTTCGCAAGAGCTCGCGCGTAAGCTTTTTTAGCAAATCAGTGTTGCGAAACCCTGTGTTTTTGTATGTGCTTTGGAAACTCGATTGCCAAGTCCTTCCGACACCGAAGGTTTTTGAAGGATTTCGGCATGCGCGCGCGACGACGCGCGCGTGTGCACTTCGTCCCATTTGTTGCAAGGGATTCGCGAACAAATCTTATGTTTTTTAAAAATGTCACCGCATAATGTTTTTTACAAGGAAACCTCAGGGGGGGCACCCGGCCCCCCGGGCATAGTGTAAATTCATATTCAGGATGGACATGTGGTCATAATCATTTATGATTTACATACCCGGAAGGGGGGGCGATAACGCCAGGGGGGGTAGAGTCTATTCCCTTCTTAGAAAGGAGAATCGATTGCTACGATGGGCGGCGACCCGGAGGCGACACGGAGGCGACGGGCGGCAACAAGCGCGGCGACCGACAGCGAGGCCCAGAAGCAGCGGGAACGGACGGCGGCGATGGGCGGCGACGGCGGCAACAAGCGCGACGAAAGACAGCCAGACCCAGAAGCAGCGGCGACGGACGGCGGCGATGGGCGGCGAAGGCGGCAACAAGCGCGGCGACCGACAACCAGGCCCAGAAGCAGCGGCGACGGACGGGGGCGACGGGCGGGGACGGTGGCAACAAGCCGGCGGGACCGACAGCCAGGCCCACTTCCTAGAATGCAAACACTGTTTGGGTAAAAAACGGAACACGCAATTTCGAACACGTCGCGCGTGTCATCTTTCCGTCCCAGAAGACGGATGCGGGCGGGGACGAAATCGGGAGCGGGGCCCAAGGACATGTAACCCTAAAAAAGGTATGGATGGAACATGGGTAGAACCAAGCCCGTTCGGATGTGAAATCATATTCGAAGTCAACGCGGGATTTTGCTTCGGAATGATCTTACACGTTTGCAACTTGTTGTTCAAGCGCTTAAAACGCAGCCGTTCTTGCGAAGGTTGAATTCCGCTGGCTTCACGGCAAACCGAATTCTGGGCCTGTGAAGCGAAACCGCTGTGCTTTGGCGATGCCAAGAAGATTCCATCAAAGATCTGCCAGGGTTGTTTATTTAAAGAATTCAAAGCCTGATGCATTCCGGGGTTGCTTATTGAATGTTGTTATCCAGGGTTGTCAACAACACGCCAAAGCTTGACAGGATTCCATCAGATATCTTCCAGGGTTGCTTATTTGAAGTTGCATGTTCGGGGAGGGAAAATCCAAATCTTCAACGTGTATGCCCTCCACAACGGGAAACCGGTGGAGGATCGCAGACAATTATATCGAGAGTTGGGCGCAATAAAAACGCTTGGATTCAGCTTGGATCTGTTATTGGGGGGCTTCAACGCAAGGATGCACTGGCGGTTTCCTTTGGAATCTGACCACATTGGTGTTTCATGTTTGGCGAACCAGCGGCGCATTTCAGTGCAGATTCTAACCAGTGTTTTTACTCGAACTCTGCATCTGCCATGGGCTTGCCATCGCAAACACGTTCTTCGAGCACGATCCAAATCTTCAAATAACTTGCTACAACGTCGGTTCTCGCCCTTCCTACCCGCTGCTGCCGCGAAACTTCGGGCAGATCGACTTTCTGTTCTGCCCGCGGCATCTGCTGCAGAGCGTGGTGGACGTGGCGAGCCGCAGCGAAGCAGCCCTATCTTCGCACGATGTCTTACTCCATTGCAAGCACAAGATATCCTTGGAAACTAGCGCGAGACCGGGGGGCCGCGGCTGGACCACGTTGCCCTGGTCGACGTCACTGTGGCTCAGAACTTCGGCGACAGCTTCGCGGAGCACATGGCTAAAGGCAACGCGCCGCAGGACTCTCTGAACGGGCTCAACGACAACATCACAGAGGCTTTCCGACATGCCGCTGCAAGCTGCTTGCCCGCGCTCCCGGCCGCGCGGCGGCGCCCCTGGATCGGCGACAGGACGCTGCACCTCATCTCGCTACGAGGTGAAGCGAGGACGCACAAGGATTTCGCGCGAGAGAAAAGATTGACCGGCCAAATCAAGGCATCGGTCAGAGCAGATCGAGCAGCTTGGCTCGACCGTCGATTAGCCGACGGCGACTGCGTCTAGGTGAGAACATTGAAGAAAGACCCAGCCGCAGCCCATGGGATAATGAAGGATTCCAATGGCCGCCTCGTAGACAGCGACCAGAGAGTAGAGACGTCGGCGGAATATGTTGCCAAAGTACAGCGGGCGGTGCGTCCGACAACGATTGTGGATGACTTGGACCCTCTGGGGCCGGAGCACGACAATTCGAACGACCCCATCACTCAGGCGGAGACGTGTCGAATCGCCCGTTGGCTGAAGCGCAATCGCGCTGCCGGAGCAGACGGCGTGCCCGCCGAATTCTGAAAAGCGCTGTGCAGGGAGGGCACGTGAATGGGGTTGAAGTACAAGGGTACAGAACCCCTGATCCGTTGGTTCCGCTGGTAGAGGGAAGGAGGGATAGATGGATGTCTTTCCCTCCTGCACGATCAAAGGTCTGATCGATCTGCCCCAATGCCTGAGCCCAAACGGCCAGGCGCAGGAGAGGTGAGGATAAGGAGTATATATGAAGGTATTACACGGGTTCTATTCACACACCCCGTCCCGAATCCCGCCCGCGAGGGTGGGACTCGGGAACAGAGGAAAATAATCCGTCACCCTTTTACTCCTTCAATCCTCAAGTCTGTCAGGCAGCTGAGCGCAAATCTGTATAGCCTCAGCTGCAAGGTAAGGTAAGATGGAACACCCTGGGTCCCGATTTCTTCGCCAAGCACGCTTTGGTGCCCCCTCGGTGCGCCCCCCAAAAACGCTTCGGCACTCGAGGGCGGAGAAGAATGAGACACGGGTGGGCGGAGAAAGAGGATCTGAGCCAGTTAAAGCAACATCAGAAGCTGCCGCGCCTAAGCGGGGCAGGTGTTGCCACCAGCTCTCTGTCGAGAGCTGGGTGTCAGATCATTATCAACGCAATGTAAGCAAAGTCTAAAGAATACACGATAAAAATATGGATTATGAGGTCGTGTTGATGAACGCGATCGTGTTTAGAAACACGTCTACATATCAAAACACATGTCTGGCCAGACGCAAAGTCGTGTTGATCAACACGAAAAAGTTGCATACATATAAATTCTGTGTTTGGCGACTCCCGCTGGCGTTGCTCCTTAGGAGGCTGCCTTGAGTATCGCAAGAATATGTGCGCGTGGCCACTTGTCTTGGATACTGAAGTGGCCTAAAAGAACATAATATCCACCGCTCAAGGCGAACTTGAATAATGATGAAGTTCAAGCCTTGCGAGCGGTGGGCCTGGCAGACGACTCCACCACGCGTTGCCCCTCTCGTAGAACCTGCGGTCCCACATCCAGTGGCCATCGTGCGACGCGTAGCTCGTCTTGAAGGTCTCCCAAGGCGTCCTCGGGATCCAGTGGCGGAACCACTCATTGTACTGGATGTCGAGGACGTATGCGAACTCGTCGTTGTTGTCCGTGATGTATATCCAGCATTTGATGTATGAGCTCCAGTATCTGGGGCCCCACTGGCTGTCCTCCAGGTAGTCGCGCCACCATGTAGCGTAGTCCTCCGTCGTGCGCGCCCTCTCGGCGCGGGGAGGTGTCGCAGGTCTGCGGCTGTCGTCGCTGTCCTGCCGCTGCGCTGCAGTGCCGCGCGGCCCCGCGGGCATGTAGTCCTGCGCGCCAGAGGCGCTGGAGCCTGCAGCGCCGCCAGGAGCAGGGCGCGGCGGCGGCGGCGGGTGCCGCGGCATGCGCGGCTCCATGGCATCATCAGAGTGTTGGGAGTATGTATCAGGTTCGATCGGATCGGCTCTCATCCCTGAATCAACCCCCCTCTGGTCAGTGGAACCCAAGGCGGGCTCAACATAAGCAAGCGCGGCAAGCTTGCGCTGCGTGACTCTCTCACAGGTGCCATCCCCTCTGGGAAGGGCAATCGTGACAAGTCCGCGTGCCTGCCGCGTGCTTCGGTCGAGTCTGCCTGCGTTCAACCGCCACTTCTTCCGACCAGCTTGGCCAGTCCTGATGCTGGTCTCGAGGATTTCACAGGCGTCGCGCATGTCCTCAATGGTATAGGCGTTCTTGCCTTTCTTGGCACGAACGCCTGTCATTTGGTGGTGGAACTTCAAATCGCTGAGAAAGCGCCGAATGAGGTTGGCAAAGGGATGGCATAGAGGTCTGTCGTCCTCACGCTCGCCCATCAATCTGCACATGTGTGCAGGAGGGGAGCCAGCGGCGACCCACTTCTCATACCTCTTCCTAGCAGCATTTGCCATTCTCCGCAGCACGTCTTTCTCATTGCCTGGAACGGAGCGCTTGCCCATCATGATGACCTGCGCTCCGTCTCCCATGTACCTCGTGATGTCCTCCTGAGAGAGCGCCGTCTTGATCCAGTGGGTCAGCTTCTGGAGGTATGCCAGGTCGCTCTCGACAGCGGTGCTTTTACCCGTAGCACCGACGGCAATAATGTACTGCCAGCAGATGTCACAAACGGTACATTCATCTGTAACGATCCCTAGGGATAAGATGCGACCGCAATTCCGACATCGCGCAATATCATGCTGAATATCTTCTGGGGCTCCGTCAATCGTGAAGTGCTCACGAGACCCCCAGCGAGTGCCCCGACCACGAGCAAGACTGCGGCCGATCTGATCGATGGCATCGCGGTTGATCTCGGCGGTCGGACGGGAAGCGATCGATCTGCTCATTCCCTCGATCTCGATCCTAGACAATCTTTCCCCTGGCAGTCCTACGCGCTCGGTCGTGTCGTTGCCCGCGTCGTCAGTATCACCATGGCATACGTTTTCTGTACGGGTACGGCTAGCCTCTTCCTGCAAGGCGGACTCGTTGTCACCCTCCTCGCGGTTGATTCCCTTCTGTTGGGCTATGATCCGTGCCATGGTTTCCTGATCTGGAGCTGCGGATGCAACGCTGCCTGGGTCCTGGGGAATGTCCTGCTCCGCGCCTGGGTCACGTGGCGCGGCAGGTGTTTCCGCCAGCTCCGTCCATACGGGGAAGCCTGGATTGCCGAATGTCTGGGTGTAATGTGTGAATAGATCACGCAACGTTTTGAATGCAGGATGGTTCTGATGAATAGCATCTTTTGTGAAATCACGGAGCTCCGCAATACTGTCCAGCAATATGATTTGATACACTTTAGAGATCCATTGGAAGACGCCTGTAGTCGACTCCTCGATGACCTCTGGGTCCAGGTAGTGTACCAACTTTTTGAAGAAGCTATCTGCACTGCGCGTTGGTAAGTCACGTGCCCATTTGTGGGTATGATTGTAATCCAAATAGTATGTCTCCGCGTTCCATGTTTTGGATCCGAATTGAATCTCAAATCGTAAGTATGACTGTGCTTTATCCACCACAATCTTGTCCGCGCCAGCGTGCACCTCAATGATTTGTTTCACCTTTATCATAGGTGGGTCCACCAGCGACTCCGACGTCCAGCGGTATATGCGGTGGTCATATGATTGTTTAATACACTTTGATTCCTCCTCTGGGTCGTAGTCGGGGTGGTTGAGGAAGTCTTCTGGCGGGTCGATTATATTGTCGAGGATGCTCGCGTCGACGTGCTCATCTGCTTGGTTCTATGCCGATAAATCTGCTCTCATGTTGTCATTTGCTGTTTTCTCCTCGGCAGTGAGTGGGATGTTTGATATAGCCACAATGACGGTAACCAGAGGGTCAGCAGATTGGCCTGCCTTTTGTTGGGGTCCATCGTCCACGGGAGCAATATCCTCGGCAGGTGTGGCCACCAGCCCTTCGGGATCGGGTGTCCGAGGGGCGGGCCGTCTGGTCGGCGCACGTGGGATACGTGGCTTATAAATGCTCGGCACTCCGAGATATGTTAGATCACCATCTGTTTTATGCGGATGTATTTTGTCGCGGCATGAGGATGGTCCTTCCAGCGCAGTATTCATATCTCTCGGGTCGATGTCGGCGCGTACTGACAAAGCAAAGACAACACCCTTGAGAGGCATGCTTTTGTCGTTGTACCATATGTTTACCCATCGTAAACCGTAGTTGAGGATAGGTATTTGTACCGCAAAGAACTTGTCAAAGACTCCGAAGTGAATGATTGGGCCGTATATGTGGCCCCCTTGTTCATGAGGACCTTGGTGTTGTGATTGCCCTTGGGGTAGTGATTGTCATAATGATAACAATTGGTAGACCCCCAATTCTTAGTGACAGTGAAGTCCCCCATGCGAACATCATTAAATATAGGCCGACGATTCCAATCTTTCTGTGTAATCTTCGATGTGATGGGTCGAAGAGCCTCTCGGCGGTATGACATAGCGATCTACCATTCTTCATCTTCTGTATTGTGCTCGCAATTGTTGATCATAGCGCGGACCATTTGTTCGTCCAAGGCGTCGGCGTCAGATATGCGGTCAGCAGGGGTTGCCCCCAGCTGAGGGGCAATCGGTCGCTGAGCCGAAGATGCTGATGCGGATGGTGTCCTTGGCTGCTGATCCATGTCGTGATCCGCGTCAGCTGGTGTAATCCCAGGAGGGTTATCGAAGAACTCCTGCCCAGGAAGAACGGCACACATTTCGCATTTGCTCAATGGTTGTCTCGAGGCCAATGGCGGATAGTCCCAGGCCGGGCCCTCCGGCCATATCTGCTGGCCGTGCGCGTGGCGTGGTTGGAGACGGCGAATTGCAATAACTGCCGCTGCGGGAACCACGTCTTCTGTCATAATAGCGCCTTGGGCGCCCAACCAAAATCTGCAACCAGCTTTTGTGGCAATCTCCATGTTGATCACCAGCTCGACCTCGTTCTTGTAGTGATTGAACTTGTATGACTGTACCGAGGTGTGGGGATTATTCTGGACATTGTCTATGTATGTGCTGGAACTAAAGAATGCCTCCGTGCGTGGTGATGAATTATAATACTTGTCTCTCTGAGAAGATGGATCGATATAGCCGGGAATGATCCCTATCTTGAGAATGTTGCGCCAAGCACGGAATGTCGTGCCACGGTGGAGGTATTTCACGTCTGTCCATTGTAGGCTCTCCCAGCCCATGCTCCATGGTTTGGAAAGTGGATTGACGCAACTGTGGCCTCCAACACATCGAATGGCAATAACGCTGTTCCAATCGAAACAGCTGGGGTCGCCTCCTTCGGGGATTGGTTTGGCGTATATCTCGATCCGATTCTTCTGCGGGTCAATATGTTTCTGGAACGCACGAATGATGAAGATCGGGTAGTAATCATTCCAATCGGGATACCCATCTTTCTCACCATCCTTTTTGAAGTGCGTCATGGCCGCATCGGTGGATGGTCCGTTGTGGTTTTTACGATCACTGAATTTCCATTGGACCAGATCCTGAAAGGATTTCCAATTACTTGGGATCTTCCACTCACGATCCGTTGTCTTCGGCCATATGTTGATACGTCGATCGTGAAACTGATTGTTGTGGAACTTCTTGTAGTGGGTCTCGTGGCGTAACATCGTCGTGATGTCTTTGCTCATGTATTTAGGATCTC